TCATTCTATAACAGAAATGATAATAACACCCAACAATAATTTTAGAGAATCAACCACATTTATATCAAGTTGATTTTCTTAAAAATGGTTTTGGGAGATGAGTATGATATTAACGATCAAACTAATCTTACGTATATACAGAGATTTCCATCAAAGATAAAAAAGCATTTCTTTTTTCATTTGATCAAACTCCTTTTTTTGTATTTTGTAGTTTTGTAATTATGTGTCCTTTGTGTGTTGTAAGATTCGTAATGTTCTTTTAGTCATTGTTAATTTTAAGAATTTTTTTTTTGCCTTTACAACATCAATAATGGATCTTACTTTATTTATTAACAAGTTCATAAATTTAACTCAATTATATCGAAACTAAAAGTACGAAAGCTCACTAAAAAGTCTATTATTGATGGAGATTATTATTTTACCACCTTCAAGAAACCTAACAAAGCCAAAAAAAATTATTTCGAATTAAAACAAAAAAAATCGGTTAAATATACTTATCTCAGAAAACATCTTTCTAAAGAATTACCAATAATTCGCTTACAAAAATATCTATCATATAAATGAGAATATTCTAATTAATGGACGTTTCCAAGATCCGAAATTTATGTACTGTAACGCTGTGAACCAAAATTGGGAATTTTGGGAGGTGCGTCGATCAACGCAAGGGGGTGTATCGATCGAAGCAAGCTTGAATTGAACCGATAGGTTCGATTTTTGAGCGTCGGATTTCGGTCCGGTTTAAGGGAAACCCTAGGGTTTCTATATAAATAGGGGATCAGTCGATTAGTGTCGTGTTTTCCAAAGTTTCCAGAGAGTTCCAGTGAGTTTTTCAGAGGATTGAGAGAGAAAAAGGGATTATTGTTGATTTCCTTTGAGTTCTTGATCCGAAAAGCTTGATCTAGTGATTTGTGAGGCTGTAGAATCGAATCGAGAGCGTGTTGTTCGTGGAGGAAGAAGGAATTTCGGATTGTTGGGTCTGATTTTTGTGTTCTTCGTTGTTGCTCATTTCTTTTCATTCCGAAATCAAGGTGAGGAATAGGTGATGAAGTTGGCTAGGTCTATCCCAAGAGATTTAGGGATATTCTTCGAAGATTTGGAAATCTGCATGTTTTCCGTATATTGAGCGTATCTTCAGATTGCACTGTCGGATTTTCACGATAGAATATTCTATGTGAAAATGAGATCCGTGTGAGTATATAGATATGCAATTATCCAAAGTGACTTAATTGATTTGTTTTTGGATTTCAATATGAATAAATTTTGGATCTGATTTTGTTTGTTTAAGGAATTTTTACCAACGGAAAAACAGGTTATTTAGCTGGGTAGATGTGATAAAATGTTTCAAATGTGTTTTTTAGGAGAATGAAGAAAAAGATAGGATCATATTTTTAGCCACTCCGGCAGCTATGGTGAAATATTTCCCAAACCCAAGAGCTTATTATGGAAAACAATTAAGCAAATATCACCGTAAACCTTTTGTGAGACATTAACACCAACGTGAAACGAACCAGCCAATGACTTAAATGAGGATATTGCTGCTTCTCCTTCTTCGTAAGTACCGACTGCGAAAAGAATAAGTGCAAAGGCGAAGGCGAAGGACAAGCTTGGATCGCGTGATGGGGTGTTTCCTATTAAACGCAGGCTTTGTTATGATCTTTTGGTTATAACCTGTTTTTGATGTGAGATCTTCATGTTAATAATTGCACATCTAATCTAAAATCTTATTTTTGATAGGAGCTAACAGAGAACTTTCATTTCATTTCTTACTATAAAATGTTATTGAATACATTTTAATATGTTGATCCAAAGAAAAGAAGGGATTTTTGTCAAAAATACCATTGTTTCAACAAAATCTTTCCAATTATACCACACCCGAGAAAACATTTCGAAAGATACTAGAAAATACGATAATATCCTTTGTCTAGAGGAAGGCTTGGTCGGCGCTGTTAGCGAGTTTGTGTTAATGACTGGTGATGGAGGATAAATTGACAGGAATATTTGGGCGGGAAGAAGTGTAATAGTGAACGCATTTAATGCAAAAGTTTTTTAGTGGTGTGAAGAAAAACGTAAATAAGTTGAAGATTAAAAATGTTGTTAATGAAAAATTAGACAGTTAGAAATTGTGAGAGAAAATGTGTTAAGAAGTTTAGAGGAAGCTATCTAGGTTGCTCTGAGAATAATCAACGGTGGACGAAAAATCGAAGGTTGACATTGGCGAATTAAAGGAGATAGCCGGTACACATAATGGGATGGAACCGTATAGTGTTTGAAATTAATGTTGGCGTAGTTAACGTGGTTGAATTAAATACAGGTTGGTGAAAATGTTTGATGGACGACACAGTGTTGGTGATTGTGGGATGGCAACTAGAGATGTCAACATGGGTTACGATCCGTTGGCTAGGCCTAAGTAAGACCGTAACGGGGTGGGATTAGACACACATTTAGAAAAAAAAAATTGGTCCGCTACGGATTGGTTTACTTGGGCGCGGGTTGGTCTCTAAATTTTTAGTTTTGACTAAATGAC